GCAATTGTGCAATCTTGGCTCACTACAACCTCTACCTCCCAGATTCAAGTGATTCTACTGCCTCAGCCTCCAGAGTAGCTAGGATTACAGGCGACCACCACCATGCCAAGTTAATTTTTGTATTTTTAGTAGAGACAGGGTTTCACCGTGTTGGCCAGCCTGGTCTTGAACTCCTGACCTCAGTTGATCTGCCCGCCTCAACCTCCCAAAGAAGGTCTTGGGATTATATGCATGAGCCACCACACCTGGCCTAAAATCACTCATTTTTTTAGATCTTTTTTTTCTCTCTGTTCTTCACATTAGATAATTTCTACTGCTCTTTCATTTATTCTTTTCTTGATTAATTCCATTTAGTGATTTTAAAAAAAAAAGCCAGTTATTGTAGTTTTTAGTTCTACAACTTCCATTTGTCCCCTCCCCCATTTTTTTTTTTTTTTTTTGAGACGGAGTCTTGCTCTGTCGCCAGGCTGGAGTGCAACGGCGCGATCTTGGCTCACTGCAACTTCTGCTTCCCAGGTTCAAGCAATTCTCGTGCCTCAGCCTCCCAAGTAGGTGCGATTACAGGCACGTACCACCATATCCAGCTAATTTTTGTATTTTTGTAGAGACAGTTTCACCACGTTGGCCAGGATGGTCTCAATCTTCTGATCTCATGATCACCTGTCTCAGCCTCCCAAAGTGCTGGGATTAAAGGTATGAGCCACTGTGCCTGGCCCCATTTGGCCCTTTTAAAATCATTTCTATTTCTTTTCTGAGATTTCCTATCTTTGCAGAAATATTTTTCTTCTACTTCGTTAAGGATAATTATAATATTTGCTTTAAAATCCTTTTCTGATAATTCCAACATCAGGATTACCTTGAGGTTGGTCTTAGGTGATTTTCTTCTCTCTGGAGAACATGTTACATTTTCCTGGTTTTTCCTATATTCAGTAATTTATATTGGGTTGTCTTTATATTGGATTGTATATATGAGTTGTATCCTGGACATTATGAATGTTTAATTATTTAGAGTTCGAGACCTGAGGGACCAATATGGTAAAAACCCATCTCTACTAAAAATACAAAAATTAGCTGGGCATGGTGGCAGGTGTCTATAATTCCAGCTACTTGGGAGGCTGAGGTAGGAGAATTGCTTGAACCTGGGAGGGAGGTGGAGGTTTCAGTGAGCTGAGATCATGACACTGTAGTCCAGCCTGGGTGACAGTGAGACTCTGTCTCAAAAGAAAAAGAACACTGACAATACTCAGAATAAACAAGTTACTGTGCAGAGCTCTAACTCAGGATGAGGTGGGTAGTTAAGCACAGTTTCCTCATTCTGTCACTCAGCTCACCTCTTAACTCTGAGGCCAATAGTAAATACAGTTCTGAACATATCTCCTCTACTGGGTATTCCTAGTAAATTTATTTTTCAGCAAGGGTAATAAGGTAGAACGGGTCTAAAGGGAGTTCCTTCTGGCTTCTACTAGACTTCGAGCTATATAATAAACAGATATAGTCATAAGGCCAAAACAAGGCTGAGCAGAGAAAACAAGTTTTTCAATAACAAAGTGAATGCAGGGCCAGGCGCAGAGGCTCAGCTGAGGTCAAGAGTTCGAGACCAACTTGGGAAACATGGTGAAACCCTGTTTCTACTAAAAATATAAAAATTAGTTGGCGTGATGGTGTGAGTCTGTAATCCCAGCTACTCGGGAGGCTGAGGCATGAGAATTGCTTGAACCCAGGAGGCAGAGGTTGCAGTGAGCTGAGATCACACCATGCACTCCAGCCTGGGCACAAGAATGAGATTCTGTCTCAAAAAAAAAAGTGAATGTGGTATTTCCCTCCAACATGGATATTGTGTTGACTGCACAAAACTCTGGCTACATTCAAATGGGAAAGAGGTAAAAACTGCCTCATGAGTTAGAGCTGTTGTTTTCCCTCTCTGATGCCAATCTATCTCCTGAACCCCCACCTCCTTTTCCAGCTGCTACAACCACAGAGGCCCTTGGCTGATGCATCACAAGCAACAGAGAATTCACTGAAACCTGGTATTATCTTTTGGCACTCCATAGCTTGAGAGATAGTGATTAGAAGGAGAAAAACATAGAACTTCATCAACAGTATGGCATTTTCACTTCAGCTGTTCCTGGGGGCAAAACAGAGCCATAAAGAGAAATCCCAGATTGAAAGCTTTGTGGTTATCTCCGCTTCTCATTAAAGTGCCCCTGATTATAATCACACCTACGATTACAAGATTTAGCACACCTGGTCTCAAGGATGCACCAGGAAGAGGAATCATCTGTTCATCCCTTCCCATTTCCTTTTCTTTATTCACTAAGCACAACTTACAAGTTTCAGTGAGTACAGACTAGAGATGGTTTGGAGAACAGTGGGAGGCTTTTCATTCACATGGGTTTTCAAAGTGACAAAAATCTTCCATGGCCACAAATTATTTTAGCATTTGTGAGACAAGCAGTGTTGCTTTCATTGGCTACACACAGATGTGAGAAATCTGGGTAGAGTTTCGATTTCTTCTCTGACTTTGCTAACCAGTTTCCTCTGCTACACACACACACACACACACACACACACACACACACACTTTCTCTCTCTTTCTCTCTCTCTGGTTCTGGCTCTGGCTCTGGCTTGAGCTCTCGCTCTCTCGCTCACTTTCACTCTCTCACTCAGTAAGGATGTATGCACTTACAGAGTCTTGCTGTCACCCAGGTTGGAGTGCATGGCGTGATATTGGCTAATTGTAACCTCCACCTCCCAGGTTCAATTGATTTTCCTGCCTCAGCCTCCTGAGTAGCTGGGACTACAGGCGCATGCCACCACACCTGCCTACTTTTTTGTGTTTTTAGTAGAGACAGGGTTTTGTATTGTAGGTCAGGTTTGCTTGATCTCCTGGCCTCAAGTGATTTGCCCACCTCCACCTCCCAAAGTGCTGGGATTACAGGCATGAGCCACCGCACCTGGCCACAGAAGTTTTTATGAGTCAGCCAGATCTTCTCCATATTCCTTTGTGTCACTATTAGTTGCCACCCCAATACCCATTTTCTGCCATCTTCCTTGCTGAATAAATTCAATTTTATTCAGAGTAGCGATGTGCTAATTAAATGCATAGCCAGGCTCCCTTGCAGCTAGAAACAATTATGTGACAAAGTTCTGGCCAATGAAACAGGACGTTTCCTGGGGGAAGGGTGGGGGTGGGGGATTGGGGGGGGTGTCTGGGAAACTAAGTTCCCTAAAATAGGAAACAAAAGCACCAAGGGCTGCCCTTCTCTTATCTTCTTTCTTACTCATTTAAAACATTCACAATGGCCAGAGCTGCAGCATCGATCTTGTAGCCATGAGGCAAAGGCCACAATTATTATAGAAATACTGGCTCTGTTGATATTGAGCTGCTAAACAGATACCACCTACCTACATATTTCTTGTGATGTGAGAAACATAAATCCTTACTTGTTTAGGCCATTGCAGTTGAAGTTTATGTGATTTGTAGTTGAACCTGCTCACATCAGATAAGCTCATTCAATCCAAACCTTAACCTACACAAGGCAGAGGAGCAGGGGGAGAAATGCAGTTCAGGGTAAAGCACTACTCCCAAAGCACTGGGAAATGCCATTGCCTCACTATTGAGTTGCACCAACAGCAAGTTGCTATGTAAAAAGAAAATGTGGCTGTGAAGGAAAGAGGGGATAATTACTGAGTCCATGCCTGTCCAAAAATGGCATCGGGGCGGGGGGTGGTGGCTCACGCCTATAATCCTAGCACTTTGGGAGGCCAAGGTGGGTAGATCACCTGAGGTCAGGAGTTCAAGACCAGCCTGGCCATCATGGTGAAACCCCATCTTTAAAAAAAAAAATTTAAAAAAGAAAAAAAACAAAAATGTCATCAGAAACTCGATATGGTAACATTCTAAGATGAATAAAGCCCACATGTATGATAAAACAATCACTTTTTTTTTTTTTTTGAGACGGAGTTTTGCTCTTGTTGCCCAGGCTGGAGTGCAATGGCGCGATCTCGGCTCACCGCAACCTCTGCCTCCTGGGTTCAGGCAATTCTCCTGTCTCAGCCTCCTGAGTAGCTGGGATTACAGGCACACGCCACCATGCCCAGCTAATTTTTTGTATTTTTAGTAGAGACGGGGTTTCACCATGTTGACCAGGATGGTCTTGATCTCTTGACCTCGTGATCCACCTGCCTCGGCCTCCCAAAGTGCTGGGATTACAGGCTCAAGCCACTGCACCCGGCAACAATCACTTTTATAATGGCTTCACTGACACTTGGTTAAATAATGATGTGTCAGCCACAGACAAGCATTGTGGATACTGGGTGGTGAATTGTTAATGCAAATTTTCCATATGAAGTCAACTGGAAATGTAATCAAAAAGAAAATTAATTTAGGGGTCGCTTATTCTCAGCATACATATGGTTATATATATATATATATATATATATATATATATGTATACACACACACACATACACTTTCTTCCTGTATTGGTCATACACTGGGGAGAAATCCAGCCAAATCTACTTGAAGAAGGAAGAAAATTTAATTTATGCAGCAACTAACATGTCACGGATTGAATTCAGCTAGAAAGGAAACATCTTCAATGAGGCCCTTTAGTAATTCAACATGAACAATTTAATGAGTCAGGAAGGCAAGTCACTCAAGTTCAGGCTGTAGAGGCAGGGCGAATGTGTTCTAGCTAGCTCGTCTTGGAGCCTGCTGCTGAGGACAACGCCAGGATTCAGGGCCTCAATCTGTAACCTTGTGCTCTGGTTTTTCTCTAGCAGTTAGTATATCGTTTGGCCAATATGTTACTGAGGTAATGGAGACATAAACTAAAGATACGAACAAAGTCATTTTCCTGCAAAAAATTCCTGTTGATGGATTCATTTGCATGAGTCCATCAAGGGAAGAGGTTTGAGGTCTTCCCTGGTAAAAGGAAGATTGAGAAATAGACCAAAAAAAAGAGAGATGGAGAAACTGCAAAGGGCGAGAGACTGACCTCAGTAGCTTTCTGGCTGAGTCCCCGAAGCAGCAGCACAATCACATGTATGGCAGCTCTGCGTACTTGAACTTCGCTGTCTGTTTTAGCCACAGCAATCAAGCAAGCTGTTACCTAGGAGGGCGAAGGAAGATGAAGTTGATAAGAGTCAGAGTTGCACAATTACCTATAACCTTTCAACTGTGTTCCACTTACTACACATTCGTCAAGAGCCATTTGGCTTAGAGAGGGCTGGATAGCTGCTTAATCCTCAACAAAGAGGGTGTGCTCTAGTGGGAGAGATCTTGATGCAGAAAGTCTAGTGGGAGAGATCTTTTCTGGTAGAGGACAAAATCTGGTTTGGAATTCAAGAATGTGGCTAGAGAGTGGGAAGGAATATGTACACTGTGTATTATATATACATATATTTTTCAAGATGGAGTTTCACTCTTGTTGTCCATGCTGGAATGCAATGGCAGGATCTTGGCTCACCACAACCTCTGCCTCCCAGGTTCAATCGATTCTCCTGCCTCAGCCTCCCAAGTAGCTGGGGTTATAGGCATGTGCCACCATGCCTGGCTAATTTTTTTTTCTTTTAATTACCTAGGCCAAATCTTAAAGGAGTCAGTTGTTGTTTTTTATTTTGTTTTGTTTTAATAGAGGCGGGGTTTCACCATATTGGCCAGGCTGGTCTGGAACTCCTGACCTTGTGATCCACTGCCTCAGCCTCCCAAAGTGCTGGGATTACAGGCTTGAGCCACTGTGCCCGGCCTAATTTTGTATTTTTACTAGAGATGGAGTTTCTCCATGTTGGTCAGGCTGGTCTTAAACTCCTGACCTCAGGTGATCCACCTGCCTTGGCCTCCCAAAGTGCTGGGGGATTATAGGCACAAGCCACTGTGCCCAGCCTATATGTATTTTTTAAAAGGTAAGGTCAGATGCTAATATTGCCTCAAAAGTGGGAAGAAACTGTTACTTGTCCCCCTTTGAGAACATCAGATCAAAGGAAAAAAGATGGTACAAACCATAGCTGCTTCTAGAGACTGAGGATCATGGGGATTTAGCTAAGGAGACTTCAGAGTTCAAGGCCTAGCATGAATGTGAATGTGCCACTGATGAAATATTTAACCTAGGGATACAGAAATACAGAAATATTCCAACTGATCTTCTTCAGCATGTCCAGACATTCCAGTCCTATAAACGTAGTGTACACCCCACGTGAGTCAGCAGGGGCCACTTTCAGAGACTCCCTGAATATGGAATACATCTTTCTGTGCTCAATTACTTTATGTATTTTTTCTGTTTTGTTTTGTTTGAGACAGGGTCTCACTCTGTAACCCACCCTGGAGTACAGTGAGGGCTCACTGCAGCCTTGACCTCCTGGGGGCAAGTGACCGTCCTACCTCAGCCTCCCAAGTAGTTGGGACTACAGGTATGCGCCACCATACCTAGCTAATTTGTGTATTTTTTGTAGAAATGAGGTTTCACCATGTTGCCCAGCTGGTCGTGAACTCCTGGGCTTAAGCAATCCTCCTGGCTTGGCCTCCCAAAGTGCTAGGATTACAGGTGTGAGCCACTGTGTCCAGCCTATGCTCAGTTACTTTTTTTTTTTTGAGATGGAGTCTTGCTCTGTTGTCCAGGCTGGAATGCAGTGGTGCAATCTCAGCTCACTGAAACCTCTGCCTTCTAGGTTTAAGCAATTCTCCTGAGTAGCTGGGATTACAGGTGCACATCACCATGCCTGACTAATATTTGTATTTTTAGTAGAGATGGGGTTTGATCATGTTGGCCAGGCTGGTCTTGAACTCCTGACTTCAGGTGATCTGCCCTCCTCAGCCTCCCAAAGTGCTGGGATTACAGGCATGAGTTACTGCGCCTGGCCACTGCTCAATTAAAGACCATACTATCACAGGAAAGAAACACTGGAAATTACTTGCAAAACTGATATACAGTTAATTATATCAGAAAATCAAACAGTTGAATGTTAACAGCCACTATGCATGCCCCTGCCTGGCTTCTGGTAGGCAGAAAAATGTTTTAAAATCTCAATGTAGAGATACAATTAACAATAACGACAACAAACCTTTCTGAGGCATTCAGGTAAGATTTACAAAGAAAAAAACAAATTTTGAAAATGTGACCAATAGAAGCAACAATCTGAAGGCATGTCTAACTTATTCAACTGGTCTCCCATAATCACTTTGTTTTTTTTGTTTTTTTTTTTTTTTTGAGACGGAGTTTTGCTCTTGTTACCTTGTTACCCAGGCTGGAGTGCAATGGCGCGATCTCGGCTCACCGCAACCTCTGCCTCCTGGGTTCAGGCAATTCTCCTGCCTCAGCCTCCTGAGTAGCTGGGATTACAAGCACGCACCACCATGCCCAGCTAATTTTTTGTGTTTTTAGTAGAGACGGGGTTTCACCATGTTGACCAGGATGGTCTCGATCTTTAGACCTCGTGATCCACCCACCTCGGCCTCCCAAAGTGCTGGGATTACAGGCTTGAGCCACCGCACCTGGCCCACTTTTTTTTTTTTTTTTTTTTTTTGAGACGGAGTTTCACTCTTGTTACCCAGGCTGGAGTGCAATGGCGCGATCTCGGCTCACCGCAACCTCCGCCTCCTGGGTTCAGGCGATTCTCCTGCCTCAGCCTCCTGATTAGCTGGGATTACAGGCACGCGCCACCATGCCCAGCTAATTTTTTTGTATTTTTAGTAGAGACGGGGTTTCACTATGTTGACCAGGATGGTCTCGATCTATTGACCTCGTGATCCACCCGCCTTGGCCTCCCAAAGTGCTGGGATTACAGGCTTGAGCCACCGTGCCCGGCCTGTTTTTTTTTTTTTGAGACAGGGTCTCACTCTGTCATCCAGGCTGAAGTGCAGTAGTACAATCTTGGCTCATTGCAACCTCTGCTTCCCGGGTTCAAGTGATTCTGGTGCCTCAGTCTCCTGAGTGGCTGGGATTACACGTGTGTGCCACCAGGCCTGGTTAATTTTTTGTATTTTTTGGTAGAGGTGGGGTTTCACCATATTGGCTAGGCTGGTCTTCAACTCCTGACCTCAAGTGATCTGCCTGCCTCAGCCTCCCAAAGTGCTGGGATTACAGACGTGTGCCACCACACCTTGCCTCTCACATAGTTTTGTTATTGGACTTACTGTGTGAGTATATTTCTTGGCCAGCAGTGGAAGGATATCTAATTATGATAGGAAAATAGCCAGACTGTGTTCAGAAACATGTACAGATAGAAATAATGTTTAAAGAATGGTGAATACGACAAAAACAAGTGAGGAAATGGGCTTGTGCAGAAATTTAACTATGCAGGTTGTATTTTTCACAGCTTTCATACAGTTGGGGATAGTCTAAAGTATCTAATTAATCAGTGATGGCAGAGAGATTAGAACTAGCTTGTTCTTAAGTATAAGTGCATCTGTGATACACTGGCATTTAATCAAGTTGTGCATCTATTAAACAAACATGCAGCCTGCAAGCGAAGGAAAATCCCAGAAAGTTCAACCCTTTGGGGGCTGTTTTCAGTAAGACCCAGCAAGCTATTCTGCCTTTGACCTGGGACCCCTGACTCTGAGGCAAGCAGTGGCTTCCATGCCTCTGGCATTAAGAGTAGAAGCAATTCAGTCCTAAGAGGAATTCCTTGGGCAACCTCCAAACAGGCAATAATATAATAGCTACCTCCACTTTCAGGTTTTAGTATTTACAAGGCAAGAACTGAAACCAGAGAAAAAAGTTAGAGCTAGGTCTGGATCCCTCTTGACACAGGGAAGTAAAGTTTATTTGGTCTGATAGCTAAATTATGGAAGGCAACCCAAGGCCATGGACCAAGCAGAGGCTTTTAGGTGTCCTGCTTGCTCCCCTCTACGTTTTGCTTTGGGCCCCTGCTTCCACGTTTGGCAGACCAAGGCTCCCTGGCCTAGAACACTGTTGTTGTCTGCCTTTGTCACTTCTGTTCTGCCTCTCTTTGCTAAGTGGTCCATGCTTACACCTCAGCTCTCAGTGTAAGGCTGGCTCTCACAGTTGGGTATTTGGGCATTAATCTTACAGTTGGGATGTCCAGGCAGAAGCATCCTGCTGGGAAAAGGGCTTTCCCTTCAAGGCCAATTCTTTTTTTTTTTTTTTTTTTTCTGAGACAGAATCTCGCTCAGTCACCCAGGCTGGAGTGTAGTGGTATGATCTCAGTTCACTGTAACCTCTGCCTCCAGGATTCAAGCAATCCTCCCTCCCACGTCAGCCTCCCTAGTAGCTGGGACTAGAGGCATGCAACCACCATGCCCGGCCTTCTTTTTTTTTGGAGACAAGGTCTTGCTCTGTCACCCAGGCTGGAGTGCAGTAGTGTGATTTTAGCTCACTGCAGCCTCAACCTCCCAGGCTCTGGTGCTCCTCCCACCTCAGCCTCCTGAGCATCTGGGACTACAGGCATATAGCACTATGCCTGGCTATTTTTTTGTAGTTTTTGTAGATATGGGGTTTTGACATGTTGCCCGGGCTGGTCTCAAATTCCTAGACTCAAGTGATCTGCCTGCCTTGGCTTCCCAAAGTGCTGGGATTCCAGGCATGAACCACCATGCCCTGGTCAAGGCCAGTTCTTGAAACCCTGTACCACCTTGAAGGTATGACTGAGAGAGGAGCTGGTTATGACAAGCTTTGCTGAGATCAGCTGGAATAGCCTCTTGCTTGCTACGGGCTGTTAGTGACTTATGCGCCAGAATCTACCAAACCCATCTGCAGTCAGCCATCCAATCAGGAAGAAGCCTGAGAACAGAAGAACATTTGGGAAATGTCCTCAACCCCTCTGTCACCAGGACCAAATCCTGTGAAATGTATAATGGTCTGTCAGGCAAAATGCTTTCTGAGCATCAGAATTTTAATATGGTCTTTTGGATATCATCTAAAGAAAAGAACAGCCTTTTTCTGTTCAGATCAAGCTCCCATAACCAGCTACCAGCTTGTAATGCTGCTCTCCTGCAGACCAGTGGGACAGATCCTCACTAGAAGTGAGAAGGATATAGGCCACTCTTTTCTACGTATCCAGGCTGGAAAAGTCAATTCACGGCTGGTCTCTCACTTCCAACCCCAATGACATAATCAGCACTGAGTTCTACCTCTAAAAACCTTGGTGAGTG